TCCTGAAACGGAAGGTGGAGGTGTGCAAGGTCTCTAACATCCACCAGCTCTGTGATGTCATCATGGAAGAGGTCTCCAGTGGCAACCTATGAAGCTCTGGTGAACTCTATGCCCAAGAGAGTTAAGGCAGTGTTGGAAAATAATGGTGGCCACACAAAATATTGACACTTTGTGCCCAATTTAAACATTGTCACTTAGGGGTGTACCCACTTTTGTTGCCAGCAGTTTAGACATTAATGGCTGTGTGTTGCATTATTTTGAGGGGACAGCACATTTACACTGTTATACAAGCTGTATACTCACTGCTTTACATTGTAGCCAAGTGCCATTTCTTCAGTGTTGTCACATGAAAAGATACACTAAAATATTTATGAAATGTGAGGGGGTGTACTCACTTCTGTGATATATTGTATGATTTTAATTCTATTGTTTTTAATATTATGATCTGCCTTGGGTCCCTTATCAGGAGAAAGACAGCCTATAAATAAAACAAACAAGTAATAAATAAATTATTTTCCAGTTCTTGCAAAACAACATAGAATCTTTGTACATCTGGCTATCTTTCCCTGGTGCTATTCCTCCTTTCCTTTAACCTAGGCTTGAGTCCCCCTATGCAAAATAATAATAATAATAAAAAATTTAAAAAATGACAGACTATATTGCACTACTTTGGATTGTGGGTTTCATTTTTTAATGCTCCTCCACCTTTAAAACAACATACACCTAGCACACAAAACTAGCCATTTAACTTTTCCACTTTCTCTCCACTTGCAAGGAGGTTTTGTGTTTTTGGTTTTAAATCTAAGCAAGCACTGAAAACCAATGTTCATCCAGTGTCGTCTGAAAAGATACTGTCCTTACAACTCGCCCCTCCCCCCATTTCTTCCTAGGATTAATGCATGTGAACTTTGAAAAAACCTGGACATATTTTCAAAAGCAACCAACTATATACTAAAGCTGCTTTCTGATTCTAGAACAAATAATCAAAAATTAGAGCATGCAGAGCTGAAGTTGATGTACAGTTCGTGCTTTGTTCTCTTGTTTTCACAACAGCATGAATAAAAGAATCAGCTGACTTGTTTTAGTTGGCATGCTCTCTGTTTTAACATTACCAGCAGTCTCCTCAATTCTTCCTCTGAATTCATCTTCCTCCGCTTTTGTCACATATGTACATGCTAGCGACTGGTAACATTGGAAAAGAACTCCAGCTTTTGCTGCCCTTCTGCCAGCAGGCAAAATCATTTTTATTTAAAAGGGCCACTGATCAAGACATTTTAATGGTGGGTGCTCTGCTGCTGTGTGCAGTTTTAAAGTAGTGTAAATTGAATTTGAATGGATTTAAGCTTTATATTGTGAATCAAATATAACAAATTTCTATCTGTTTTCATCTGATAATTTATTTACTGTTTTAATGTTGTAATTTATTGTCCCTTTTGCTGGACTGTTTGTTAAATGTATATTGAAGGTGCCTTAAGTCTCACAAGAGGGGAAAATGAGATGGAGAGAACATCTGACATGTTTTTTATACTTATTAACATATGGAGTAATTTTTGAAAAGAGTTGACTACAGTATTTGAAGCAATATGATGTCAGCAAAACGATGTCTTAAGTCCAATATTAATTCTAATCACAGTAGACCTACTGAACTCTACCCATCAAGCCCCATTTCCTTTCAACAGATTTGCTCTAGCTGAGCTTATTATTGTATTTAGCCCAATGTATAGGAAAACTTTAAGTTGCATTAAAGCTAAGAAAGGATCAATGCAATCCAAATTCATAAGTTTGTGTGTATTCCTAAAAGATCCACAGGCTATTACCAAACATACCTCTAGCTTGTGAGTAATAACCCTCCAGGCTTCATGTATTTTTGTTATGTCTTATTTTTGATTCTTGAAGTTCAAAAATACAAAGTGCCTGCAGTATTTAGTGAATATGCTGTGTCTCTAAATCTATCTGCATATCTTCCAATGCACAGATAGCCAGCCATTCAGATTAGAATGCCCAGTTGCTCATTAAAACAAAATTACTTCGCTCCGGCAATTATTTTAACCCAGTAAGTCAATCTGAGAGCTCCGATAGGTGCAGAACCTCCCTCATAACTAACCATCTGCCCAGGCAGGCCAATCAGATGTATCTCCTCCCATGTGTACAGAAGACTCACTCTCTTGGATGGGTTGGTCCCTACATTGAAGCAGGTGAAAAGGAGAGAGAGTGAGAGACAGACTTAACCTCTGGTTGGTTTGTGTCTTAACCAGAGAGGATCAGGAAGTTGACAAAAAGTAATAGTTTATGAACCTCCTCTGTATCAGAAGGGGAGCAGCAAAAGCCAAAGCTACGGCAGAAACATTTTATAAACGTCTCCACTCTCATTAATTCTTTGTCCCCATCAGTTAATGTCTGCACGTTTGATGAAAATAATTCATGAATATAGGTCACTGCCTGCCTGTTTTTACTTATGACTTTAACATTCAACTTACCAGTTACTTTGGGGATTCCCTGTAATCGAGGAACCGGGAGTGCTACCATGATCCCCAGATTTGTTCCGACTAATAATAAGCCATGGCATACCAGGAGGCTGGTTACAGACACACGTTGCTGTCCTGCAAGATTCAGAGCGAATGAAATTACTAAACACACACATACCCACAAAACCAGAACTTCTGTTGACCATACTTCAGAACTATTAGTAAAATACAGTTAAGGGTTGTATTTTGTTTTCTTTTGAACAAAACAAATCTAGTTTATTTCAGGTTTCAAGATGTTATTCTGTTAGGCTCCTGAGGAAGGAAATAAATGTGCTTTTACACATGCACATGTGCAAATTAATCATGGAAATTAATCATTGGAAAGAGAGGTACCTACCACCAAGAAAAAAGAGAAGGGAACATAGTAGAGTCTTGTAGTAGATTCAATATTCCTTCTTTAATTTGCATAGTGTTTACTGTTCTGTGATAATTTGCAGAATGCATGGCATTCTGTAGGACTACCATTAGCCTACTTGAGCTGATTTCCCAAATTCTTCACATTATTCCACTGTGCATGGAGTACTGTGTGGGTGAGTTTGATCCAAGCAGCATGATTAATTTAGGCAACTATAAGAATATCCAGCAGATATATTGCTTGGCCACTGTCATTTGGAACCTTAAGAGATAAATCAGATTGCAATCTCAAGTAGAAAAGACTTATTGGGATCAATAGGGCTTATATGAGCATTGATCAGCAAGACCCATTCATTTCAATGTGTCTATTTTAGTTGCAACTAAAATTGGAACTGTGCCTGCTGCAGTTCTATACCCACTGATTAGACAGACACAATGGTTGAAATCCATGGTTGTTATTCGTGAAGGGCTTCTTCAGAAACATTGTGCGATCAGTCATGATGGGAAGTACATGACCAATTATCTGGAAGTTGAGTCATGGCAACTCTACTTCTTTCTTATTAGGTTGACACATTTAGCTATTCATCCAAGTAACTTCTTCAGATATATGATGAACTGCACAACTGAACTGCAAAATCCTTGTTGCCTGGGTGTAATATCTGGCACAGTTATATCTGTGTAACATTAAATTATGTGGCAGCATACAGGATTCCATCCAATGTATGCAGCTGGATTTACTTCTGAGTAAACAAGTGCAGCTCTATGCTGCATATCTGTTGAGTTTATTCATATTTGTTCCAAGGACTACAGTCTTCATTTTACCTGAACTACACAGCGTTTTGTGATTATCACTGAAGACAGAATTGTTGGTTTTTTGCATCATCAATAAAAATATGTATGATGCGGCTCATCTGCTCAGTCCCATACTGAGTATTCTATTTGCACTTAGGAAGCTCGAGAACACCACTCCTAGCCACTTAGCCATCTTTTAGATCAGAGGAGTCAAACCCAATTTCCTCTTGGGCCATATCGGCATTGTGGTTGCTCTCAAGGAGCCGGTTGTTATCTAAAGACTATATAAAGGCATCTACTCTTTATATCTATACAGTGGGGTCTTGACTTAAGAACGGCTCGAGTTAAGAACATTTTGACTTAAGAACCACTCTCATAGGAAAATATTGACTTGACTTACATATTTAGATTTGAGTTAAGAACTGAAAAAAAAACCCACGTGGGAGGCAGGGAAAGTGCAAAATTTGAACTTTCAGTTAACTGTTGGCCAGTGAAAAGGGTGCCTGTCTGCTTCCTCACTCCTCCCAGCGTTTAGAGAGTGGATTGGGAGACAGTCTTCGGACTGCCTGGTACTGAACTACCTTTCTTGACCTAAGAAAAAAAGAAACAAAATATCCCCCTCTAGTGGTCGAAGGCAGAATAGCAGCTTCCCATTAGTTTCTATGGACGGAAAAGAGCAGATACGGATCAAATGGTTTTCAATGCATTCCTATGGGAAATGCAGATTTGTCCTGAGAACTTTTTGACTTGAGAACCGCCTTCCAATACCGATTAAGTTCTCAAGTCAAGACCCCACTGTACTACAAAGAGTTTTGACACTGGTTCCAGCGGAGTTGTAATCTGAAGGCTCTGGCAACTGATGGGCCAAGTGGGGCATGTGTCTCATCCTTGAATCTTGGTGGCAAGTACTCTCTGCTCCAGTCACAAGCCACGTATATCTTAAGGATGCCAGTCTAGAAAAGGCTGAAACCCAGGGAAAAAAAATGTATATTAATTATTCCAGGCAGTGTGTTTCTTTCTTTAAGTTAAGCATCTGAATAAACTTGTAACCATATAAATCAATCACATACATGAGTTAAGATGTTTTTATCCAAGGATAACATTGTTTAAGGCATTGCTAAGTCAGTATTTTATTGAACAGACTGGCTGGATTAAGTCTCTGAAATACAGCCTCCAATAATTACCTACTTTCCATGTAAATTAAGTCAGCAAGTAAATAAAAATATATTCTGTGTAGGTTGTGATTTTCTTATTGCCCAAATGGTTACATAACTGTTCTCAGAACAGAGCAGCAGAAACAGACAGATCTTGAAAAACCAGAATGTTTTTTTTGAAAGTTTCTACCAGGAGGAAATAGTAAATGAAAAATACACATTCACTTAGAATTCAGAAAGTGACATATCTATCCTGCTACTATTCAACCTCTGCAGAAAATGGGAAAACAAAGTGGTCTAGCAGACCCCCCCCCAAAAAAAAAACAGGAGGTGAAAGATGTAAATGCAAGGCCCAGACTCCCCAAGTCCTCTTCATGTCACCTTGGCTAAATTATTCCTTTCCAATGATTTCCCATTTGAAACTGATATAATAAGAGATTACCATGTAGGCCTGAAGTATTTGTTCCTCACTCTAATGTCCACCATGCTAGCACTGTCACTTTGGACTTTTCTGGCCAGAATTTGTATGATCTTGCCATCCTTCAAAACACCAGCTGTTATATGATTCATGATCAGAAACACTACTTTTGCGGACAACTCCTAGAAGTCCCAAGCCTATGTGGCTCAGAAATTCTAATTGCTGGTGTTTTTTCTTTTTTTTCTTTAATAATAAGTTTTCAAAGTTCTGTGATTGGTACGTACCAAATAAGCCCAGAGCTTGGAAATAATGCATTAAAATTAGTTTATTACAATTAACATTACATTTCTCACTTTTTCCATTAAACTACAGAAGCACCCATTTATCTAACATTTTAAAAATAATGTTTTAAAATCAATGTAAGTTCATTTTCTATCTGATGAAATACAGATTTATCACTACATCTGTGTGTCCACAGCTCATCTTAAGGTTCTGAAATAAGATCTAACTCATTACTCAATATTTGTCAGGATATAGTCCCAAATTACCGGAGCATAAATATGCAGATATATCTCAGGAACAGTTCTTTTGCTGATGATTTCTGTGAAAAGTCCTTTCCCCCTTATTATGCTTCTAAATAGTCTTATTTTAAAAAAATCCAGCGCTTTGCTTTGTTATAACATGGTAGTTTCTTTTCTTGTTTTTAAACCTTATATCTTAAGAGTGGGTGGGAAAGTTGTAATCCCACCAGTTCTGAACATCAGACTGATTGATTATGATGTTGCCTGGGCCTCGGGATCACAGCCAGTGGGGGGGGCACGGGGAGATGAGCTGCACCCGTGCCAAGGCGTGCTGCGGCGGAGTTTCCTCCTCCTCCTCCTCCTCCGTCCTTAGAGGGTGGTTGGATCAGGGCCCTGATGGCAATAAACACTTGACAGCCACAGGTAGTCCAGGCTGGACATGCTGCCTGGAGGGTGCGGGGACAGCCAAGACCCGCATTTCTCCGTGTGGCTGTGCGCGCCCCCCCCCCAAGGGCATGCCTGTCCTCAATGGATGGATGGAGAGCTCAAGGGGACGTGTGCGGATCTCTCGGCAGGGCTTGGGATTAGGTTTGCCTTCCTGCCTCCCAGCTTGCCACCCTACCCAGCCAGCCCTGGCGCAACGTGGAGGAGGGAGAGGAAGGCAAGGTGACACTGACACCCCCTGATCTCCGCCCAGCCCGGGAATGCCTCTCGCCCTTCCAGCCAGCCAGGCCCCACCTCCCCAGGGCATGTTGAGATGGCACGGAAAGGGAGGAGAGCTGGGAGCATGCTTTGCTCACCTCCTGCTCACTGCTCATTTGTCCCGGCAGCGGGGTACTTCCAAGGCCATGGACTGGGGCTGGGGACCCCTGGTATATTGCACAGTAGCAGGGGGCCTGAGCAACTGCCAGGGCCACATGAAGCAGCCTGGTGGTCTTTTTCCAGGTGGCTACTTTGAGAAAGCTGAAAGTGAAGGGGTATAAAGTACCAAGGGCATGGAAAGTAACTTTTTAAAAAATTAATTTGTCCCCACCACTTATTACCATGTTGAAAAAATAGATCGCTGTAATTACAGTGGTGCCTTGCTTGACGACGTTAATCCGTTCCAGCGAAATCGCTGTAGAACGAAATCGTCGTCAAGCGAAAGTAAAAAGCCCATTGAAATGCATTGAAAACCGCTCAATGCGTTCCAATGGGCGAAATACCTCAGTGTCCAGCGGAGATCCTCCATAGGGCAGCCATTTCTGATGCCTGTAATGTGAGGAATCCATCCTAAGCACAGTGGGGAGCCATTTTGAACAGCGGACAGCCATTTTGAAACCCGACGATCAGCTGTTTTCTGATCATCGTAAAGCGAAAAACCGGTTCCCAAAACAGGGGACTGATTGTCGGGAAGCAGATTTTCCCCATTCATTCATCGTTTTGCGATCGTAAAAAACACATCGTGAAGCGGATTCATCGTTAAACAGGGTAATTGTTAAGCAGGGCTCCACTGTATTTGATCAGATTTTGAAATGTAAATTCCTACATTGCTTGTTAACTTTGCTTTGGAGCCAGATTTTAGGATAGATTAAAAACGTAATGAACCTTGAATATTTCCACTCAAGATGCCTCCAAAAATACTTTAAATTGTCCCAAAGTAATTCAGTGCTACACTCATTCTGACTACTTCTAAGCTCTGAAAAATGCCACAGCATACAGTGAAAAAGAATTCATGAAAAAGGCTTATTCTAAACTCTGACCGTAGTCACAAATGATGACTTGAGTAGCATGCACTTGTAAGCTATTTTCAATGTCCCCTTTGTCCATAAACTCAAATGCAAAACGGACTGCTCT